GGCTGTGGGGGCTACACTGTCATTAGGGTCAGCAGCTGGGCCACCATGGGGCCGCCAGGGCCACAGGGCCACGGGGCCACGGCGCCCCTCCGGCTCACCCACCGGCGCGCTGCTCAGCTGGCATTGTACGCGCCGAGTCACCGGCCCAGTCATCTCTCATGGCGCCACAGCCAGCGGGCAGCAGGCAGCGCTCTGCGCTAGCGGCTAGCGGCGCACCCCCGACCCTCTCAAAACGTCAACAGTGCTGCAGCTGTTTTCAAATTTATCGAGGTTACTGCGGCTCTTGTAGAGCGCGCAGTGGGCCAGAAGACCGGTGGAGGCGGCAAAAACTCTAGACGCGTTTTGAGCTCTATAGTCGCTAAACAGGACTCGAACCCAACGTGTGAGCCCCACCAATGGATTCCTCGTTCGGAGAGAAATCCATTAGTGGGGTCACACGTTCGGTTCGAGCCCCGTTTAGCGACTCTGGAGCTCAAAACGCGTCCGGGATTTCGCCTTCCTCCGCCGGTCTTCTGGCCCACTGTCCAACGTTGTCCTCGACGTCCCAGCCGACGACGGCGACGTGCCGAAAGCCTCTCCGAGGCCGCCGCCTCCGCGCCGCCGCCTTGTCGGATTTCCTTCCGAGAAACTCCTTGTTGTGCTGTCGTTAATACCAGATCATCGAGAAAACTTTCCACCTTTTTTCCATTCCACTTTGAGGCGAGCGCCCCGCCAACTCCGCGATCCGCGGCGCCGCGTCCTCGCTTTGGGACGTCTTTGAGGCAGAAGGAAGTTCTGCGCCACCGGCAGCCACCGGCCGACTTGAGACTGTCGGAGACTGTCTGTCGGAGACTCGGAGACGAGCGCGCTGTGCGCTGCGGCCGCCTGCTTCGTCTGCTCTGTGGCTCCGCGGATCCGCGGCCTCCCCGCCATGGCGCGCCACTGGAAGGGCTTGCGTCGCCCGCAGACTTTGCTGACGACTGCACCTCGCCGGCGACGGCAGCCTTACAGTGTACCTGCCGCTAGGCCGCCAGGCGGGCTGGAGATGAGGAAGTTCGCAAGAGGAGAACGAGGCGGCGCAGCCGTTTTCTCGCTGTCTCTCTCGCACCGGCCAGACCGGGCCAGACCGGGCCAGACGCCCCAAGAGTGCGACAGAGACAGCGCGACACTCTTCGGCATCGGTCCGCAGAGCGCCTGTCATCGGCGGGGTAGGCCTCCGGCGCGACGCACAAGTGCGCGGTTTGCCTGACAACACAATTTGGATGCCTTTTCTCCGTCTCTGTCTCTCTGCCTGCCGCCGCCGCCTGCGCTGCAGCCTAACGTTCTCTCTCTTTCCCTCTCCCACACTGTGCGCGGCGCACCGCGGCCACCCCTGCTGGCGCCATCTGTGAGCGGCGGCGCGGCGCAGCTTGGCGATACCCCGCGCTGGCCGCGGTCCGTGCGGGTGGGGTAGACGCGACCCCGCGACGCAGCTTGGCGATACCCCGCGCTGGCCGCGGTCCGTGCGGGTGGGGTAGACGCGACCCCGCGACGCAGCTTGGCGATACCCCGCGCTGGCCGCGGTCCGTGCGGGTGGGGTAGACGCGACCACGCGACGCAGCTTGGCGATACCCCGCGCTGGCCGCGGTCCGTGCGGGTGGGGTAGACGCGACCCCGCGACGCAGCTTGGCGATACCCCGCGCTGGCCGCGGTCCGTGCGGGTGGGGTAGACGCGACCACGCGACGCTCAGCTGGCCGGGCGCCGCGCAGCGTCGCGTCGGGTGGAAGTCACGCGGTGACCGGCGGACCTGTGGCCCAGGGTTCGAGTCCCGACATGCATTTGCATTTTTGACGGGCTCTCTCCACTCCAACCAATGGCGTCAAATCTAACCGGAGCTGTTTTGGCCCTGCTTGGGCCTGCTATCCCCTCGGTTTTCCCTTCGTGCAGTTGCAGACATAAGCATGGTGCAGACGGACGGCTGTGTTGTTGTTGTTGTTGTTGTTTGAGCCCCGGCGGTCCACCAGTAGTCGCCTGCGGTGGGGCCAGGCCGGCGCACAGTGGGCCAAAAGACCGGTGGAGGCGGCCAAAACTCTAGACGCGTTTTGAGCTCCAGAGTCGCTAAATGGGACTCTAACCGAACGTGTGACCCCACCAATGGATTGCTCTCCGAACGAGGAATCCGTTGGTGGGGGTCACACGTTCGGTTCGAGTCCTGTTTAGCGACTTTACGGCTAAAACGCGTCTATAGAGTTTTGTCCGCCTCCGCCGGTCGTCTGGCCCACTGTGCGGCGCTGCCCGGTCGTTGGACCCGCGCGTCACAAGTGCAGCACATCTCATTTGCATAAACTGCACCGCGAACGCGCGGCCAACGCGACGAACGCGGCGAGTAACGCGGCGATACGGCGCGGCCAGGCGCGGCCAGGCACACCGCGCCGCCAAAGGTCAGAGGCTGTCGCCTCGCGGTCAGTGACACGCCAGCGGTGCCAGCGGCGCCAGCGGCCACTCCAGCCACGCTGGAATACATTCCCTACCCTCACAAAAAAACGCACTTAAAAAAAGACTCAAAAAAACTTTTAAAAAACTCTTAAAAAAACTATTTAAAAAAAATAATGGGTCAAAAAATGAACCAATATTTTTAAGGTGTCTGCGTTGGACGCAGACGGCCGACGCGTCATCCGGACCGCATCCTCGGACAACAGGTAACGCAGGGGGCTGGAGTGGAGGGGTGGGGAAACGGGAGGCCATTGTCCGGTGGGTGGCAGTGTAGGGGTGGGTGGGGAGGGGGGCCCTGCCGGGGGACGTCCAGAGGGGGGTTCTGAGCGACGTTTGTTGGCTGGAGGAGTCAGTTCGCCAGTCCATTGAGTCCACTTCGGACAAGAGGGGGCTGCGAGGCGGTGGGGGCACCAGCCTTGCGCCAGCCTTGCACCAGCCTAGCCTTGCACCAGCCACCCGACATCCGCCCCTGCGCCTACGCCGTAAGGAATCCACCGATGCCGACCCCTCCTAAGAAAATCATCCTTACTCACCCGGGCGCTGGGAGACTATCCTAACTTGATAGGATTTGTGTAGAAGTTAAGATAGTCTCTCAGCGCCCGGGCGAGCTAGGATGGTTTCCTAGCGCCCCGGCGAGCTAGGATGGTTTTCTAGCGCCCCGGCGAACTAGGATGGTCTCCTAGCGCCCGGACGAGTATGGTTTTCTTAGGAGGGGTCGATGTGTCTCTTTCCTCCACAGTGACAAGTTTTCGTGTTTCGAAATTCGGCCGAAACAATCACGGTGGAGGGATTTACTTTTCGTTGCTGACTTAACTTTGACGTGTCGTGTTTTGCGAGCCCCAGCCAGTGTGATGTCGTCCAAACTTTTTTGGTGTACCGTCGGTGGTGCTCCCCGGAGCCGGTCCCGTCACCGGGGGAAGTCCCAGGCCAGTGAGTCCGCCGCCGTCGTGCCTACCACAAACTTGTCCCGAACTTGTCTCAGTTTCCCGGTTCAAGAAAACTTATGGGTAGAACCGCAAAGTGGTTACCAGGGGCGTTGCAGCGAAGGGGCAACCACGAACGATGTTCAGGGACATCGGATTTCGTCCATTTTTAAGCCTAAAATCTGCCTGTTTTTGGCCTTTTGGGGGAAAGATTTCGGATTTCCAGAAATTTCAAGGGCTCCAGGGGACACTCTCGAGAGGTTGTCCCCTCGCGTTGCAGCGTCGCCCCTCGCGCGCCTCGCGTGTCTGCTTGTCGCTGTGCTTGTCGCTCTGCGCGTCTGTCCGGAGGCGCGACTTCCCGGAAGCACGTGGCGGGGGTCGCTCACCCGGCACGCCCGGCAGATAGCACGGAAACAGTTAGTCAAATCGACCAAAATTTTGTTTATCATAATAGTAACATCCTTCTGGCCGTATAGCCTCACGGCTATAAAACTCATAGTTTTATTCGCTTTGACGTCCAACTTACGGTGTAGCTCCAGCTTGTCGTGCAAACTATAACCTGCCGGCCGGCCAGCAGGGTTCGATAAAGCTGCTGCCCCCATTCTCACTTTCGGCGCGAAAGAAAAAATAAGGGGGGTTCGTGGGGATGTGGGTCATTTTTCGCCTCGCGATAGAAAGATGGAATCGTATTGATCTGTTACCATTGTGGCGGTCTTGAGCGTCCGGAGGGGGCGGCCCACTTCCACATCGCGATGCATAGCGCACACAGCGCGCACACACACACACACCCACACACACACATTCACACACACACACACACACACACATTCTCACACACACACACACACACACACACACACACACACACACGCTTTCGTGATAAATCACTCCGACGGAAGCAAATACTCGGACGACCACCGCCTTCCTGAACCCTTTCCTGCGTCCTGCGAGGCTTATCTTGATTTCGAATTGATTTGCGACGTCTTTGTCGTTTTGATTGTTTTCGAAGCAGGAGGAAACGCCTTCACGCCTTCAAAACCGAACACCGGGTGTCCACTGCAAAGTTTGCGTATGCGACTCCAGTGTGAATGGGGACCTTGCTCTTGACCCGAGTCACTCCGGCAGCCGCGGCAGCGCATCGACCCGTCGGGGTTGGAAACTTACACGTCTAGCGGAGCCTATACGCGCCGAGGCGGCCAGGGCCTCGGGCAGCGCCTTGGCCAGCGCCTTCCGTGAGCGGCCTAGGCCGAGGCGTGCCGCCCCACCCATTACAGAGAGGAAATGCCGCCCTCGACCTCCAATCTTGGGGTTCGACTCCCACCAACGCCGGGCTTTTTTTTTTTTTTTTCAGTATCATTTTTCCCGTTTTTGGTAGACTATTTCGTTCTGACGCACACCGACAGAGGTGCCAAGTGATACACTTCGCTATCGCTCGCCAAACAGCCCGGTTTTAGTGGTCAGTGACACTGCAAAATCGAATGGGGCAGCCCCCGCTCCGCCTCGCTCCGCGAGGATTTCAAACAATTTGCCGAGCCACACAAAGCCTGACGCAAGTCGAGTGGGGCCGTAATCTTTGGCACCTATCGGGCCGGCTTACTCTGCCGCCAACCTTCCAAAGCGCCCACGTGACCAGGGCTTTAGGCGTTCACGGCGTGGAGTGTATAGGTGAACCTAGCAGAGCATCATTTGGCTATTTCACATCAAGCAGCAGCGAAAGGTACATCATAGCTAGCACTCACGGGCTGCAACTGATGGGGTTTCCACCATTGGACGAGATGAGAGTAAGCCTTACAAGAAAGTCGGTATCTCGTTCGCAAGTGTTTTTTTTTTAAATTATATAAACGCTGCGTGTAAGTAATCGCACTTCGTTTTTATTTAGTAGGACAAAAAAAAAGACCTCAATGACTCTGCACCTGGTGATGCACTTCCCAGCCAAAAGATACTGTCGGTCAAATTGAGTCAAGCGGTTCAGGTGTGTGTGTGTCTGTGAGAGAGAGAGAGAGAGAGAGAGAGAGAGAGAGAGAGAGAGAGAGAGAGAGAGAGAGAGAGAGAGAGTGCGTGTGTGTGTGTGTGTGTGAGAGAGTGTGTAGTGTCAAGATAATTCTGGGCGCGTTTCATCCGCAGATGGCGTTTGTTGTCAGTTGTCGGAACCAGGTGCACTAACTAGGACGGCAGACTCGCGGGAAAGCGCATTGCCCGTCCGCCCGTCCGCGGTGACGTGTTTTCGTCCGTTCCGTTTTAGGAGTTAGTTTTGCGTCGCGGCTTTCCTGACTGACTGCCCTCCAAAAACAAAAGGTATTCTACTTTCAGACGCGGGGAATGTTTAGATTCGCCCAAGGTCGGTTGGTGATTTGATTGAACTGGATTTTAATTTAGATCGAAGAAAGGAGTGGTGACATGGCGAATATTTTTTTATTGAGTGTCTGAAGTTTGTAGCCGGTCTCGGCGGTGGTCGTTGAAGGGGCTGACCACGCCACGTACTCGTTAGGTCGGGCCACTCGGAGTGCACTAATCAGAGAGAGAGAGACGAAGGCCCTGTGTAGTTTGTGGGTCAGCCGGCCAGTCTGCATCGAATTTTTTCAACCACGTATTTTCTAGTTTTTAGTCGAAACATGTGCGAAACAGCGCCAAGATCAGAAAAAGCTTCTCCTTCCGTGAATATGAGCCACCTTGTGAGCCGCGTCACCGATCGGTTTCACGTAGCAACTGAAAATCCGAAAACCAAAAAGTGCGTCATCCGTATCGTGTTGTGTCCGTGACCGGTCCGTGACGGTGCAGATTGACAATAAGCGCGCTAAGCATGTGGTGCCAAGTCGCGAGGTGTAATCGCGCGGAGAGGGGCCGGGCCGGGCCGGGCCGTGGCCGGGCCGCAGCGGTGTGAGAGTCGGCACGTAAACCAGACCGGCCCGCCGCCGCGCCGCGCTAGCCGCGTTGCAATCCGTCTCCGTCCACCAAGTCCAAGGCCGCGGCCGGCCCGCGCCGCACTGCGCCGGCTACGGCCTCATGGTGGCAATACTGACCGGAAGCGAGAAAATTCGGTCGCGGGCCGGCGAGGCCACGAGGCTTTCGCGCTCGCCAGGGCGCGGAGGAGCGTGAGGGCCAATCTAGGGGCGAGGAAGGTCTCCCGGAATCGATCGAGTGTTGAGTAAGATTTTGGGTTTTGTTTTGGTTCATGAGCAAATTAATTCTAAACTTACGTTTGGTTTTTAATCTGGCTGTGTGCATGGTGCAACCTACAGTGTGGTGCTGCCCCTCGGGCTGCCCTCACCGCATAATCGAAACGGCTTTACTAACGTCCATGTCTGTGCCAGGACCGCCACCACCACCATGCTGCGGTCCCTGCCCGTGGTCGCCCTGGTCGCCATGGTCGCCGTCGGGGTCGTCGCCGCCAAGGTTAGTGTCACACTTCTATAGATAAATGAGGATGAAAATTTGATTAAAAATTATGCACGACTCCACAGTCAACAATAATATTTTAAGATTTAATTTTTGTTTTGTTTTTGGCGGGCAGGATGACTGGGACTGGGACGTGCTGTCGGCGGGCTGCGGCTCCACCAAGACGTGCCTCGGCGTGCCGACGGGCTGCGAGCAGGGCGGCGGCAGCGACTGCAGGGCCATCGTGGCCGTGGAGGTCGTGCAGGGCGCCTTCGTCTTCAAGATGCGGGCCAGCAACGCCACCTGGGTGGCCGTCGGCCTGGGACGCGACGCCAACATGGTAGGTACCGTGGCAGGGCCAGAAGACCGGTGGAGGCGGCCAAAACTCTAGACGCGTTTTGCGCTCCAGAGTCGCTAAATGGGGCTCGAACCGAACGTGTGACCCCACCAATGGATTCATCGTTCGGAGATCAATCCATTGGTGGGGTCACACGTTCGGTTCGAGTCCCGTTTAGCGACTCTGGAGCTCGAAACGCGTTCAGAGTTTTTGCCGCCACCATAGCGGTGTTCTGACCCACTGTGCGTGGATGGCGAGGGCAGTGTGCGCCAGTGTACCGCACGCATGAAAATGGCGGGGTTTTGTTTCAGTTCGACACGAGCGTCATCGAGTGCGTGGACCTGCCCGTGGGGACCATCAACACCTACCTGTCGCACACGCCGGCCGACTCGCGGGGCTGCAACCGCATCGAGGGGGTGAGCCCCGCCAAGCTCCGCAGCGCGCCGCAGCGCCAAGTGCACCGACCGCCCGGGCGACACGGAAACTGAGAGTGTTGATGCGTGCAGGACACGGCGAAAATGGCGGTGACGCTGCAGAGCTCCAGGAGCATCGACGGCGGGCTGTACTGCTCGGTGCTGCGCAGCAACGAGACGGTGTTCGACGGCCAGGACATCGCCCTGGACACCACGCCGTACTTCCTGCAGTTGGCGCTGGGCCAGCAGGCCACAGGTAGGGCTTCCTCCTCGTCGGGGTCCTCGTCGGGGTCCTCGTCGGGGTCCTCGTCGGGGTCCTCGTCGGGGTCCTCGTCGGGGTCCTCGTCGGGGTCCTCGTCGGGGTCCTCGTCGGGGTCCTCGTCGGGGTCCTCGTCGGGGTCCTCGTCGGGGTCCTCGTCGGGGTCCTCGTCGGGGTCCTCGTCGGGGTCCTCGTCGGGGTCCTCGTCGGGGTCCTTGTCGGGGTCCTCGTCGGGGTGCTTGGGGAGGGACTTGGACTTCAGCGCGTGACCGGCGCCCTTCCGCAGACACCAGCGTCCGGTACCACGGCAGGGACAACCACGCCGCGGCCGAGCGCGCCGTGAAGCTTTCCGAGCCCGGGCCGACAACGCTGCCCACCACCTCGCCGAGGCCCACCACGCCGTCGTCGACCAAGGTACAGTGCGTCTCGTCTTATTGGGTGAACAAGAACACGATGGCGAGTGCAGCCGTGTGTTGAGGTGAAGAGAATCCAAAACGCCCCCCTTTGTATAGTTCTTGGATATTTTTGGGAGTTTACTCCACCCACCATGAACGAAGTAAGGGTGTGGTTGCGTTTGCGCGCCCCTGAGCTGACGCCAAGGTTGGACAGGCCGCGGTGCGGGGAGTCCCCCCTGGCCGCGCGAGCCGCGTGTCGGGGCGCAGCGTGCCCTCCGCCCCGGCCGCCCCGGCCGCCCCCGCCACCCCCGCCCGCCCCCGCCACCCCGTCGGCGCGCCAGCCGCGCATCCTGGTCCGGCCGCCGGCCGTGCGCGCCGAGGAGGTGGTGCAGCCCGTGCCCCTGCCCTTGCGGCCCGCCACGGCCCCGGGCGCCATCGCCTTCCCCAACGACCGCCCGCAGGGCCTGCAGCAGGCCGACGACCGCCTGGACGCCTACGCGGCCTCGGTCAGTCCAGAAGCATGCCGTCAGCCGCCACTGTAGAACCGCACGTCCGTAGGACAGCCCCGCCGCGGCACCAGTAGTCACCAGACACTGTAAAGCTGAACGTCTTTAGTTCACAGTGTGCATGTCTTCGCCTTCGTCCAGTGTAGCACCGCGCGGTGCCTCCGGCGCGCCGTGGCCGCGGTTCCGCGGTTCGTTGCTCCCTCTGCATAAATACTTGACGATTCCTCCTCTTAGCCCGCGGCCGCCTTGAGCGGGCCCGAGTGTTGACCCTCAACCCCAGCACCCCCACCCCCTCCCCCTCCCCGGCTCGCGTGCGGGCTGTCGGGCCGCCCCGAAGGCCTGAAGGCCTGGAGCCCTGCGCCGCCTTGCGCACCGACCACGTCCAGCGCCTTCCTCGCATTAAACCGCGAGGCGGTAAATTACCAGTGTAGTGGTTCCCTTCCCGCGCTTCCGGGTAGCGACCTCTCGACCTCGAGGCGGCGCTGGAGAAAGGCGCGTTTCGCACAACTACCCCTTCACCTCACATCGCACGGCTATTTTTAATTTTGGACTCTCAGGGCACCGGCCGCACTGCCTCAAGAGGGCCGAGGAGGCCAATCAATTCCACGTGCATTTTGTTGATTCTTTTTTCAGTTCACCCTGTGTCAGTCAGTTCACCGATGCGTCAATCAAACAGCTTTTTTTTTGTCGTTTTTGGTGGAGCAGGCTTGTTGTTTGCGTCCCACAGTGGGCCAGAAGACCGGCGGAGACGGCCAAAACTCTGATCGCGTTTTGAGCTCCAGAGTCGCTAAATGGGACTCGAACCGAACGTGTGACCCCACCAATGGATTGCTCCCCGAACGAGGAATCCATTGGTGGGGTCACACGTTCGGTTCCAGTCCTGTTGAGCGACTCTGGAGCTCCAAACGCGTCTTGGGTTTTGGCCGCCTCCGCCGGTCTTCTGGCCCACTGTGCGTCCTGCCGGTCCTGCCGGTCCTGACGGTCCTGACGGCCGCCCTGGTGTTGTAGAACGACTGGGACTGGGACGTGCTGGCGGACGGCTGCGGCACCGCCAAGAACTGCCTGGGCGTGCCCGCGGACTGCGAGCAGACCGCCAACTGCAAGTCCATCGTGACCGTCCAGGTCGTCGACAAGCAGTTCGTCTTCAGGATGAGGGCGACCGGCGCCAACTGGGTGGGCGTCGGCCTCGGCCTCACCGACAAGATGGTAATGTGAATGTGCGACTCCGCGTCGGCCGTCGGAGCTTTTGGCCGGGGGAAACAACAAAAACAAAAACGAAACTCCTTCTTTTCTAGTGGGACACGAGTGTGATCGAATGCGTAGATCTTCCGGTGGGCACTGTCAACGCCTACCTGTCGCAGACGACCCCCAGTGCACCTCGCGGCTGCGACCGGATAGTAGGGGTGAGTCCTTCAGCCGTGTCACAGTGGGCCAGGAGACAGGCAAAGGTGGCAAAAACTCTAGACGCATTTGGGGCTTCCAGAGTCGCTAAATAGGACTCGAACGAAATGTGTGACCCCACCAATGGATTGCTCTCCAAACGAGGAATCCATTGGTGGGGTCACACGCTCGGTTCGAGTCCTATTTGGCGGCTCTGGAGCTCAAAACGTGGCTAGAATTTTGGCCACCTCCACCGGTCTTCTGGCCCACTGGTGCCCACTGGTGCCCACCCTCGCCGGATCGCGGAAAAGCTTCCTAACGAACATTGTTGGTTAGAGCTTGCAGCAGAGCGCCGTGAAGCTGCTCAACTTCAAGAGCATGGACGGGGACCTGTACTGCGAGGTGTTCCGCGTGAACCAGACGATCGTCGACGGCCAGAACTTCAACTTGGAGACCACGCCCTACTTCCTGCAGCTGGCGCACGGCAAGACGACCTCAGGTCGGGACGCGTCCACCACGCGACGTGGTGCTTGTTGACGGCCTTGTTCACCGCCATGCTCTTTCCGCAGCGAGCGGCATCAGCTACCACGCTACCAACAGGAACGCGGGGGGCCGCGCCGTGCGCCTGGCCGAGGCCGCCTACGCCGGCTCCGCCTCCAACTGGCCCATGAGGCTGCACGGCGCGCTCATGGTGGTGGCGTGGCTGTTCGCGGCCACGTCGGGGTCCCTGGCGGCGCGCTACTTCAAGGCGGCCTGGGGGAAGGCCACCATCTGCGGCAAGGCCATGTGGTTCGCGGTGAGTAGCGACGGCTAGCGACGCCGGGCTGCGGCGATACCCCTTGCGCGCGGTGGCGGGGTAGCGCCGCCGTGGCGGCGAATCATTTCCGTCGTTTGCCCTCGCAGTGGCATCGCCTGCTGATGGTGCTGACGGTGGTGCTGCACGTGATCGCCGTCATCGCCGCCCTCATCTACCTGCAAGGGTGGTCCTCGTCCTCGGGCGTGCACGGCATCCTGGGCGGCGTGACGACGGCGCTGGCGCTGCTGCAAGGCGCCGGCGGGCTGCTGCGGCCCTCCCCCGACCACAAGCACCGCCCCGTGTTCAACTGGCTGCACCGCGGCCAGGGCTTCCTCACCCACACCCTGGCCGTCATCACCATCTTCCTGGCCGTGCCCGTCGCCAGCATGCCCTCCTACGTGTACATCATCCTGGGCGTCTACGTCGCCTTCTACGTCGCGCTGCACGCACTGCACTCGGTACGCAAAGACCTCCAAAATTTTAAACTTTTTTTTTTTTAATTTCAAATTTTTTTATTTCTAAAATTTTGAATTTTGAAGAAGAAAAGAAAATGATCACAGTTGACTTCATGTCTTTATTTTTATTTTCAGCTCACGGAAGTCCAGAGCTACTACTTCATTGTGATTGTCTTTGGATCGGCAGTGTTCGCCATTACAATGCTAGTCCTAATAGTGATTGGTGTAAAAGACTCAAATTAATTTTCATCCATCCACATATTTAAACTTTAGTCCATGATTTCAATCATTTTGCTGTCCTCTGCCATTATTTGTTCATTCTATTGGTCAGACTTTGTGCTGTTCCATTTTGACCAGGACTGTATAATATGCAGAAATTCTGAACTTGAGACTGTCCCAAGTGATAGCACTATTAGATTTTGTAGATAATTAACTTATTGATGGGACTGTATTAAGGTACAAATAAAAAGCTTATCCTGTTTTGTAAAGAGTACGGATTTTATTTTCACAGCATTCACATCAGTTACTTTAACCATTCATACTATTGGTGCAAAACTTACATGACTAAACATTTAATATCAGAACAAAAATCAATCAGAAATAGACAAAAATAATAACATTGATTACAAAATTTTCACAGCTCATGTCACACATGTAGGCAGTTGTGCTTATTGACTTATTGACTTGGGCTTGGGCTTAAGCGTTTCATTGGAAATACAGAAGAATACAGAAGGAGCGACCTGCAAATACAGGAAAGAAACTTATAATCAAATTAAAGAGCTACTTTGCATGTGCCTAACAACATACATTTTTTTTTTTTGATATAACATACCAGTGGAGTTTAACTGTTCTTCTGAGGAACCTTGACAATGACTGATTTGATTTCACTGTAGGCATTCAGGGCATCCATACCAGCATCCCGACCAAATCCTGACTGTTTGTAACCACCAAATGGCACTTGGACAGACAGGGCGTTGTAAGTGTTAATCCTGAAAATTTAAACATTTAAAAATGAATTTAAAGAAACAATAATGCTGAATAAAAATGGCCCTATTGAATAGAGAAAACTAACCAGACAGTTCCAGCTCTCAGGGCTTGCATGATGTACATAGCCTTGTCGATGTCCTTGGTCATAACAGCGGCAGCAAGACCGTAGTCAGTGTTGTTTGCCCTGGCGATAACTTCATCAACAGTCTTGAAACGAATAATCTGCTGAACTGGACCAAAAATCTAAAACAAGAAAAACAGATACTTAGAAAGATATTTAAAAAAAAAAAAAACAACTTTGATTGGACAATTTTCTTACCTCTTCCTTTGCAATGCGCATGTTATCCTTGACATCAGCAAAAACAGTGGGAGCAACAAAGAAGCCCTTGTCTCCAACCCTCTTGCCACCAGCAACAAGTTTGGCACCTTCCTTCTCACCACTCTTGATGAGGTCAAGGATTTTGTCCATCTGCTCACCATCAATCTATACAAAGGGCAAAAGTTTCACAGTTTTCAATCAACAGGAAAGAATTTAATAAGTACAATGGAAAGAGAACCAATAAAAATTACCTGGGGTCCCTGCTCCACATTCAGGTCGAATGGGCTGCCCACTGTTTTCTTCTTGGCACGCTCAGCAGCAGCCTCAACAAATTTATCATAAATGTCCTCCTGTACAAAAGTACGGGAGCCTGCACAGCAGCACTGACCCTATAAATTAAAATTTAAAAATAAATAAAACGAATAAAAGATTAAAAATAAGCATATCAGAACAAACAAAATACATAATGTGATCAGGTACAACAAAAATTATATTCAAATTTTACCATGTTGAAGAAGAGACCAAAGTGAGCGGTTTCAACAGCCTCAGTGAGATCCACATCACCCAAAATGATGTTAGGGGACTTTCCACCAAGCTCAAGAGTCACTCTCTTAAGAGTGCGAGCAGCTCCAGCTTGAATAAGTTTACCAACCTGAGAAAAAATCAAGACTAAGAGTACAGGCTGCAAATAGTAGGTAAGTCCACAAGTGAGTCAATGTCAAGGAGAAGCCGTACATACCTCAGTAGATCCAGTGAAGGCAATTTTGTCTACATTGGGGTGCTCTACTAAGGCCTTGCCTGCCTCACCGTAGCCAGGCACAATGTTGATGACACCAGGAGGGAATCCTGCCTCCTTAGCCAGCTGCGCAACGTGGAGAGTGGTCAAAGGGGTCTGCTCAGCGGGCTTCACAATAATGGTATTGCCCATGGCAAGTGCTGGCCCTAGTTTCCATGAGAGGAGCATGATGGGGAAGTTCCATGGCAAGATAGATCCGACAACTCCAACTGGCTCCTGACGGGTGAATGAGAAGAAGGGTCCGTCCATGGGGATAGTCTTGCCGTGGAATTTGTCAGCAAAGCCAGCAAAGTAGCGCAAGTTGTTGGCAGCCCCGTGCACATCAACAGGCAGAGACATGTTGTATGGCTTGCCATTGTCCAAAGTTTCCAGAGACTAAAACAAAAGATCCGACATTAAAATAAAAGGACGTAACTCACAGAAATAATAAAGTGTTGACGTTGGACTACTCTACTCACTGCAAGGTACACAGCATCCCTTTCAATCAAGTCGGCAAGTTTATTAAGGAGGAAGCCCCGTTGGGAGGCATCCATAGTGCGCCATGGGCTGCCAAGGCGGAAGGCCTCATTGGCGGCTTTGACAGCCTTGTCAATATCAGCCTAGTCAGACAAACGGCAAAAAATTAAACTCCACATCTTTCAAGGGAAAATCAAAGTAATAAGGGCCTCTTAAAGCATACCTTGCTACCCTCCTGAATTTCGGCGATGGCCTCACCAGTGGCTGGGTTGACCGTCTTGAAAGTCTTGCCAGAAGACGATTTGTGCCACTCATTGTCGATAAATATCTGTAAAAAAATTAAAATTATGTGATAAGATAAATGGACAAAACAGAGGCTTCCACTCTGAGAAAGATAAGAAAAGATAACCGAAAATAAGTATGGTTCATGCTGTAACATCCAAACACGTTCATGAAATTTTTTTTTTCTAATTCAGCGCTAGGATAAACGTACTTTCTATGCAACAGGCCTAAAATAGACACACCGAACGCTGTTTGGGAACTCACATCAGCATTCTAATCGGGTGCTAAGTTGCTGGGGTCCAGGCCGGGACGTAAGGTCCGTGACCTTGGATTGCATAACCTCAGGTTCCCCAGGTGTGTACACTGGACGAGGCTCGAGCCGCTGGCTCACATATTGGGACCCTTCGCGCACCGCAGCAAATTGCAAATCGGCTGCGCGTACCGCGAACAACACCGGCGAACCGGTAAATCATGCTCGGCTGGGGCCGAAAAGCACACAAAGAAAACACACCTCGCCGCGCCGCCAGCTGACTGCTGTTTGTTGTCAAGGAGCAGACGACGAAAGGGCCGAAAGGGATGTCGGCGTTTTGGTAAATAAATAAACAAAGCGGCCGAGGCAGAGGCGTGGCGGACAGCTGCCGGCATTGAGTCAAACAGTGCCCTTTCACTTACGCCAGTGTAGAGGGCCTTGGCGTCCTGCTGGGGAGCCGGCAGGGAGGCGGTGGCGTAGTTGCTGACGGCCTGCACGGCGCCGGCCAGCGAGCTCGGCTTCCTGCACGCCTCCTGCAGCTGGCGGACGGCCGCCGACTTGACCACGGTGCGCAGCATGTTGACGTCCGGCAGCGAGTCCCTGCAGAAGCCGACTGGATCGGGCAACGGGCAATGGTCGACGTCGCGGGGCGCGGTGGTACAGTACTTGTTGCCGCAGCTCCGCACTCCGCACCGCAGGCCGGCCTGTGCGTGTGTGGGAGCGAGACAGAGGACAACCGTGTGTGTGTCGTGTGGTTTTCGTTTGATATCTAAGTGCTAGGGAAGTAGGGTGGGGAGGGGGTACCGCTACCGCTAGCTCAGCGAGCATAGCCAACCACTCGGTTTGATTATTACTCATCAACGGGAAGCACTCATTGATTTCGGCCGAATTCTCTCAATTACAGATGCTTAGATGTCAAATTAGAAGCTAGATTGCTTCCGTTACAAATCAGAACACGCCTCTTATTTTGTCCTCAGGAGGCCCCACCGCGAGACTAGCCTCGCGTATGAGAAATTCACTCAACTGACCACTCTAGTGTACGAGTGGTTGCCCGCCGCCACGGCGCTAGTCGAACGAGAGCGGCTCCGCCGCGGGGGCAGGCAACCCAACTGGCAGAGGCGGTGCGAGGCGAGGCGAGGCGCGAGGCCGCCGCGCGCGCAGGCAACCCAACTGGCAGAGGCGGTGCGAGGCGAGGCGAGGCGCGAGGCCGCCGCGCGCGCAGGCAACCAAACAAGCGCGTGGACGACCCGAAAAGTAAAGTCCTTCATTCTCCTAGAAGGAAAGAGAGGAAGTCGATCACGTCATTCCGGGATAGACAGTGCGCTCCTTCACACCGTAAACAAATGGCTGCACAGCCATGCGTTATCGGTCGTTTGGATACTGCCCTGCCAGGCCAGGGGTGCCAACAGGCGTGCCTGATAAATGAACGGCCCATGATGACGCCACAATGAGAGCGCTTCGGTTTGGATTCGTTTTGTTGATGAATCGCTGGCGGTGGCAAGGTGCTCTTCTTTTCCCACCGCAGTCATGATGGGCCAGCTCGTCTGTGTGTCCGGGAGACAATCATGTCGAATGGGACTGCGATGCAGCAGGCCCACAATGTGTTGAATGAAATGGCCAGATTGCTTGGTTACGGCCGGTGGTGCCTCGTGATGGTGATCACATGTTTAGTTTTGTTCTTCTGATTGGTCTTGGTGTCAGTCGGGATGCGGGTGCCGTTCACCATACACTAGCTGCGGTTTGACAAGGGAGAGGCACTGCTATGAGGAATTGTACACAATTCGATCTGTCTGGGATGTTTGGACGGACACAGTCCAGTTTTCTGACGGAACTCGTTCTGAACGGTGCGTGAAGTGACGAACATCACACGTACTGTGCGTGAGGTGCCGGTTGTCGATGGCCTGCCCTGCTGGCGCGCTGGCGCTCCGCATGCTGACCGCTTCCGACCGCTCGACTCCTGTAACGAGGCATGGACGCTTTTACGGCTACCTGAACCTATCCCACAGTGCAGGGGCCGAGCAACATCCCGCCGCGGCGCTTGGACTGGACCAATTTGTTAGACTTGTAAGTGGCGAAGCCGGAGTCGGGTGGTGCCGGTGGTACTAGGGCCCGGAGTGTTGCCCCCACAGTGCCCCGACGCACAGTGGGCCAGAAGACCGGTGGAGGCGGACAAAACTCCAGACGCGTTTTGAGTTCTCCAGAGTCGCTAAATCGGACTCGAACCGACCATGTGACCCCACCAATGGATTGCTCTCCGAACGAGGAATCCATTGGTGGGGTCACACGTACGAGTCCTGTTTAGCGACTTTGGAGCTCAAAAAGCGTCAAGAGTTTTGTCCGCCTCCACCGGTGTTCTGGCCCACTGTGCGACGGCCCCGACCGCAGCAAGGCACGTCACGTGATCGCCCCGGGGCTCCTCCGCTGCGTTCGCTCCCCTCGCTACCGAGTTACTCCGGGCCGGGGTTATGAGGGGGCAAACCAAACAACAACAAGAAGCTCTGATTTAGGATCGCAGGTGGGGCGCGAGACGCGGCGAGACGGCCAGGCTGGGGCCGTGATTGGAGCAGTACTAAATCCCGATTCCTCGGGAAAATAAAAGAGCAAACAAGTGCGTGTTATTTACACTGCGATTGCATTACTACTACACTGCATTGGTGCGCGTGCGTGCGCGGCGTGCGTGTGTGTGTAATTTGGCCGCCAACAGGCGTGTTATTTCGCCAGACGCAATAAAAGGAAACGCACTCGCCAATTATCTTCGCAGGACGGCTACTCGTCTTGACGAGTAGATATGCGCGTCGAGTAATTAATTAATGGTGCAAGCGAAACATTTTTTTTTCCGCGTTGCTGTTGTTGGAAACGATGGGGCTCCTCTTGCAGGGTAAGTTTTCCCGCCCATTTGAAACAGGTCTGCCCCCACGCGCCCCACGCCAGACAGCGCTTCTTTTTACCCTTTTTCTCTCCTTGCTTTGTTTTGGGGCCCCGGCTGGACGCGGCTGGACGCACGGGCCGACGGACCAGTGTCTTGCCAGCGACCCGACCCAAGCCAAGTCCCGCCAAGTCACCCGTTCGACACGCCGAGCCATCCGTCACTGAACTTTGGCTTATTGGAACAAAATTAGCGTCTTTTGCCTCGGGGGAAACGAGGCGTGTGGTTAGCCGCAGTGGCCCAACCAATACACGCTGCGCACAGCGGCGCCATCTGGTGGCGTTCCACAGTGGGCCAGAAGGCCGGTGGAGGCGGTCAAAACTCTAGACGCGTTTTGAGCTCCAGAGTCGCTAAACAGGCCTCGAACCGGACGTGTGACCCCACCAATGGATTGCTCTCCGAACGAGGAATCCATTGGTGGGGTCACACGTTCGGTTCGGAGCTCTAAACGCGTCTAGAGTTTCGGCCGCCTCCACCGGTCTTCTGGCCCACTGTGCGTTCCAAGGAAGCGTGGCCTTTGCAGGACTATGATGAGGGGCCTCCACTCCGCGATGCCGCGCTGCGGTTCATGAAGGCTGTGATTTCCGATGGCGTCGCCGCGTTGTTTGGAGGCGTTGGCTTTTGACAAGCCTCGCGCTGCTACAGCCGCCACAGCGCTGCCAGCGCGCCCCGCGGATGCCAGACGAATTACTTTGATTGTTTGATTGGTCACAAAATGTTACAGGCCGTCTGGGCGCGACGCGGCGCGACGTGCCTCGGCCTGCAGTCTGAACAGTGCTGCCTCTCTCGCACCCATTCGGGTGAGTGCGGCAGAGACAGCTCCTCATGCCGTGCGTGGGCTGCGATGCGACTGACTAAGGGCCCCTGCTTTATTGATCGAGTCCCATACTGGGTCGCCCTCATCCAATCACAGAGACCTCGCCAGCTCGTCTGTCGGAGACTCGTCGGAGACTCGTCGGAGACTCGTCGGAGATGAGACGGCTTCAAATGATTTGTCAAGGCGACTCCGAGCAGGTAGGCGTGGCACAGTGGGCCAGAAGTCTGGTGGAGGTGGCCAAAACTCTAGACGCGTTTTGAGCTCCAGAATCGCTAAACGGGCCTCGAACCGAACGTGTGACCCCACCAATGGATTCCTTTGTTCGGAGAGCAATCCATTGGCGGGGTCACACATTCGGTTCGAGTCCTATTAGCGACTCTGCACCTCAAAACCCGTCTAGAGTTTTGTCCGCCTCCACCTCTGGCTCACTGTGAGTGAGCGGGCATTTTCGAGTCCACGATCTCAGAAATTTACCATGTCCATGACTCTGGTTGAACCACCGAACTCAGCGCCCCCACTCGTCGTCCTGGGTCATCCTGGTCATCGCTGAGACAGCCGGCCGGCAGGGGTTTGTTTACATCCACGACGGTGCGTTGGCCAGGGCCTGGTTTTTAATCTTCGTTCCTTTTTCTGGCGTGTTTTGTCTGCATCGGCACACGGGCAGAAGGCGCAGAAGGCAGGTGTGTTGTCGGGACGGTACAGTCCGCACCGGCAGCGGCCCCTTCGGGGTTCAGAGTCACGCAGAGATGAAGCGAGCCGCCCACTTTCGAGGCGGACTGTACCTCCGGACCGCGGCGCGGGGAGCGGCGCCGGGGGCGGGACTGCGTCCGCGGTGCAGGTGTGGCGGGGTGGCGACGTCGTCTCCACTTTTCGACCGGACTGTACCCCGCAGGTAGCGTCGCCCCGCCCAGCCTCCGCCAGCCTCCGCCAGCCGATCCAAAGCCCCCGCACCGAAATAATACCGGGCATGGACCGCACGGCCAGACGCGGCCAGACGCGGCCAGACGGGCCCAACGGGAGAAAAACAAGAAGCCTGCGCACGCTGACCCCGCGTGCGCCCACGTCTGCGTAGACACGCTGGAAAATCTGGACGAAACGCCGAGAGTCACCGACCGATTTTCGATATAAAAGTGTGTCGACGACCTGTCCGGGATCGAAAACAATTCCGATCAATGCCCCCGAATTAATCTCTAATAGTCATGGCATCACGCCGGGAGTGAAAGCCGGCTCGGGTTACCGCCTCCGTCGTAACCGCAGCCCGCTTCAAATGGTTCTATCAATTTCGACTTTCGGCGACTGTACTCGGCCGGTGCGATTCGGTCCGATTGCGCGGGAAAAGGGCGGCGCGTTTCCAGTAGTGCCAACTCTCGCGCGACATGCAGATCAGAAAGTGAAGACAGCGGCCCGGCTCGCTGGGTAAACATGTAAACACGCGGCCGGGCCAGTGCCTGTCTGCCAGTGCTGCCAACCCAACTTGTCACTGCCGCGCCTCGCGCCGCGGCCGGCATGGCCTGGGCATGGCCCCGCCCGTAGAAAGTGGCAAAGCAGGCAAAGAAGGAGTTTAGAAGGCGCTTTCGCTTGCATGGCACTCGCGCGTTTATGACTCCGGCCGTACTTCGAGCTCGGTGTCAATGGCTTCTCTCCCACTCACGGGCCTGGCTCAGGTTGCGAGAGAGACAGAGCGAGTCGAGCCGGCGGCAAAGCGAGTCGCGTTCTCCCAATCCAACGCACAGTGGGCCAGAAGACCGGTGGAGGCGGACAAAGCTCTAGACGCGTTTTGAGCTCCAGAGTCGCTAAATGGGACTCGAACCGAACGTGTGACCCCACCAATGGATTGCTCTCCGAACGAGGAATCCATTGGTGGGGTCACACGCCTGGTTCGAGTCCCATTTAGCGACTCTGGAGCTCAAAACGCGTCTAGAGTTTCGTCCGCCTCCACCGGTCTTCTGGCCCACTGTGCATAAACGCCAGCACCTCGTTCG